ATTTTCCACCCGTAGTCCCTGGGCAGATAAAATGTGACTCCTGTAGAAAAACTTAAAAAGTCAAAACTTAAAGTACAAGTGGTTTGAGAATAATCCAACAAGAAAAAAAAAAAAATGATCTAGCGTCTTTATAGATACTTAAAGCACATTTGCTGTATTTCTTCTTAGGTTTAGTGTTAGGGTGAACAACACCGACGTGTTCCACGTGGATAGGCGGTTTTGGACATCGTTCCGTTCCCGTTTCCCAGCAACAGGCCCCAGAGAGAGAGCTTTTCACTCAGCCACCGTCATTGGAAACTACATGGTGGTCTACGGTGAGCATTGAGGAAATTTGCAGACATACTCAATTTTAATCAGTGCAGTCCTGTGTATATTTATCTGTTTTCTTCCTGCCTTTCTCTTTCAGGGGGGAATGTGCATATACACTACCAAGAGGAGAAGTGCTATGATGAGGAGATCTTCTTCTACCATCTGGGCTGTCACCAATGGGTGTCTGCTGGGGAGAAATGGTCACTCAGTAAGTTCCTGTAGCCATTGTCTTCCGTCACAACTCTCACACACAGTCCAGTTTTCATCTACAACTAGTTTCTTGGTGGTTGTTACTTGTGCATCTGCACCTACAGTGTTTACAAAACGTTTTTTTCCTAAGATGGAGATCCTGTGAGGGGGCGTTACTCACATGTTGCTGCTGTGATGGAGGGACGAGTGCTGCTGGTTGCTGGGGGTTACAGTGGTGTTGCCCGTGGAGACCTGGTGGCTTACAAAGTTCCACTGTTCGTCAGTAGTGATCAAAGTGACAGGGTGAGTGAATTGTTTTATAAAACAGGATAACGGGAAGTCTTATCATTTGGAAGACCAACAAAGGCAACTAGGGATAACTAACTAGTTGTGTGTTTGTTCTCTTACCAGGACGCTGTTTGTGCTGAGGCGCTAGACGAAAGTATGTGCCTTAAGAATCCAGAGTGCAGCTGGTGTGAAGGCCGCTGTCGAGAGTACCAGCCCACTAATCCGGTAACACTTCGATTTTACTCAGATTTGTGGTTTTTTGTTCCCACATTATGAGATGCCCAAAATATCTGTCAGGATTACTGTTGCAAATCTTTAATTCCTGTTTTGTGTTCACAGTGTGGCAGTACTGGTTGCCTGGGCCTGGCCCGCTTCCTGTCTGATTGCCAGTCCTGTCTGGTGTTCAGTGGCACTCCAGCTTCTCTGGCCCGTGCTCCTGGGGAATTTGGCTGGTGTGTTCAGAATGAATCCTGCCTACCAGTGTCAGGTGAGACCCAGGGAGGGAGGAAGGAGGGCAAAAGAGAAGGGCTAAGCCTCAGAATTAAAAAAGAGATGTTGGGAGTTGACATGGGAGGGACTAGACTCATGTTGGGCGTGTTTCAGAGAT